AAGCGATATGGCCTCCAACCTAGAAGCGATGGCCTCCAACCTACTAGCGATGGCCTCCATTCTAGAAGCGATAGCCCCCAACCTACTAACGTTATGCATGTTGAAGAACTGTTGAACCGCCCCGGTCGTTCTGTTCCCCCAGGTCGTTATTGTGGCTGGCAGGGCCCGGAGGAGATGGAAGAAGGGGAGACGAGATGTAGCCAAGCCACGGACTCTGGCACCTATCGCTTTTGCCCCTGCAATTCGGACAAAGAGCTTTGAGCTGGCACAACGAGTTGTCAGAGTTGGCGAACTTGCAAAGGTTGTCACATTTTTTTGAATTCTTTTGCCACTAAAGCCTGAACAGAGGCTAAGCTGGCTCAGCAAACGTGGGGTACAAAGATACCTGGAATCGCTTTCGGCCAACGACCGATTGGTCGACCAACGACACCGGCCAATGCATCGCCGTTCAGAAACCAGCCTTGGAAATACTTCCTCGGTCCATGTGGGTAAAGAAAGGGGTGCCGTATCAATGCCATCGGCCAAACCATATTGCGATTCAGAAGTGTCTCTCAGAATCCCATACCGTGGCTATTTTCGCTCAGAGACAGAAGTGTTATTGAAATATATACTGTCGTGAGTCTGTTCTCGGGAGGGCTGAATGATATCCAGGAGTTGGATTTGTTGGATTGCGCAGCGACACATGCCCAAACATGAAAGACATCACTGATTGCACACTTCGAAGCACACTTGCTGCGATGGTGCCAACCGGGGAACCTCTCTCTGTCCACTATTCATCAGACTTTGTGTCTCTCGACCAGGCGGGAAGATGGGCGCATCTCTCGAAGATGAGGTGTGCCCATGTTCTTCACCCATGTTCTTGAGAGCTATTTCTTTGAGGCACCAAGAACATGGGTGAAGATGAATCGAAGGTCTCACAATGTGGTTGTGTACTAAAAATAAGGAGACCTCCCAAGTTCCTGGAGGAAGGGACACAGACCAACACCCATTGGTTGGGTGTCTCCCTGTGAAAATGCATACCCACGTCGTCTTTGAATTGATGGGGTCTCTTCACGCCCAGGCTGTGTCAGACCTGCAAGCACCCAAGCCCGAGCCCACGCCTCAGCTGGCACCAGCTTCAAAATATGGGAGCTGCTGGGAGTCTCAGTACATGGGGCGCCAGGCGAAGCCTTGTCCTAGAATGAAGGGACTCAAATGGGTTGATCCTTTGGGTCTGGGATGAATTCACGTCTCTTTCTTACCGCCCACCCTACTCTAAAGGCCCTTCAAGGCCCTTCAAGGCCCCTTTGACTCGCTGGGCCGCTGCGCTGCAGGACTCGTTGGTGCTTGATAGAGCTGCCAAAGGACTTCGCAGATCGTTCGCTTTTCTCATCTGCACCGTGAACCTATAGGACATGAATATTTGTATGGTTGGATCTCTATGTCCGGGTGGTTCTAAATAAAAAGACGGTCTCATTCCTCAGACCAGGCTCATGAGAAGTCTGCAGAATCCATTCCCTCGCAGGAGCATTCACATACATCCACATACATCCACATATGCAACATACACAACATGTAACAGGTGTCACATGCCAGCAACATGTAACCGGTGGCAGGTGCTGTTTTTCACCGTGTAGCACGGAAAAAGAGCAGAGCGGAGGAGCAATTGAAATCTCTCGAGTCTGGACAGAGCTTTGCTTTTCGAGAGCTCAGCGGTGCTCAGGTGCGGTCGATGTGTTTTGGTCGAATCAAAGGCAACACGTTCTGGAACAGGAAGGTGTGGGCGAGCTTTTGTTGTGGTGCCTATAGTGGTTGACATGAAGAAGATTTCGGCATAAGCTGGTGGTCAAGAACCTTGTAGAATGTGCCCAACCCACAGCCCCTTTTCGTGGCAGTGCAAAGCTCTGGCTCAAGTACTGTGATAGGAACTGCAGACTCGATGGTTGCTTGCCTGCAGTGGGGTGTAGCAGACAGAGACCCCAGAAGTAGCCACCAAGTCATTTTGTCAACAGTCAAAGGAGTAAGAAGTCTTGTTTTGTGCCTTGTACAAGCAAAAGTTGCTCCACTGTTTCATGTGTTTGTTTATTCAACTTTGTGTTTCAGAGGGTTGTGCTCGCTTTGCAGTTGAGGCGATGAAGTTCTTGGTGCCTTGAACGCACGACAGATCGGCGGCATGTTTTGTTTTTGCTCGGACGTTGGTGTGGGGACAGATGGTCAAGGTTCAGTTTTTCTATGTGTCATAAATGGTCATAACATATTTTGACCAATTGAACTTGATTCCGCGGTCCATGAATGTGGCGTCAAAGTGTCAAACAATCGATCGATCGTTGAGATTTCTCGGACTCAGAGAGCTACTGGGCAAGAGATCCATTGTGTTCGACTCCAGGCTTGTGTTGACACATAAGCACCAAGCTGCAAGCTTGCACGTTGTTGAATGATTGGTTTTAGAATTCCAAGGTTGCAATATTTGAGGAGATGTTGTCAAAGAAATTACAGGACACAAATCCCCATGCACTTGGGTCATTGAGGGCAAATCTCACACCTCACGTGGTCCCTCTAGGCCCTTACTGTATTGGCGCCGGTGGCTGCTCGATTGGGGTCGCCCAACAGCACGAATGCATCAGAGACGCAGCTGAGCACTCAGAGACGTTGAAGTGCCTCTCTAGACCTCTCATCAGCTACATTCTGTCCAACAAACATAGATGTGGAACAACCCTGGGCCATCCGTTTCATTCTACTTATTCTATATACATCCATCGTCGCAGCGATTGCACCTGACGCACGACGCACGTCGCCTCAGGTTCCCTGATCATCCTGACAATTCATTGGCTCGACTCTTCAGACCAACACCCGAAGATCTCCTCCCAGGAGGCAAGGCTCGTGGTGCCGAGTACTGGGAGAATTACACCTTTGATGCGAACAGCACCCTGCGCAGTGGCTACTATCATAACCCCAGCCTCAGAGAGGTGCACAGCATCCAGAGGCGTGGATGGTTGGGCGGATGGATGGAATGGAGTCTCCGAAAGAATATGAGGCAAGAACATGGCAAGACCGATCGACTCGCCGATTGCCTGAGCAGATGCTTAAAGAACACTGTGCTCTTGGAGAGATTTGTGGGATGTGCCGGGTGTCACCTTCTTGGTCGATTCACCGACCCATGCTGGAGACACCCTGAAGCCAGAAGCTTCCCATGCTGGAGGCACCCAGACCCACCAGGACCCATGGGAAGTTGGAAGCAAACATCCTCCCCAAATCTTGCAAACCACTGGTGCTTAGTAGGGAGTGATGGAAGCTTCGACCCCGATGGAGATTCCTTTGGATCCATTGCATTTCCTTACAAGTCGCAGCAGTCAGACCATCCAAACCAGACCGGGTTTGACGGCTTTGACCAGTTCGCCAGGCGTATGGGCTATGACCATTTGGCCACCAGCACGCGCTACGGCAATACGTGCTGCGCCTCCTGTGGCTCTGTGAACACTGCGGAGCTGGTCAAGGGGACTGGCGTGGGTGCCAAGAGGGTGTGGATCATTTGGGGATGGTCCATCTCCCAGATCGGATGAGTCAATTGGGCGGGCGTGACATGCATGTGTGAACTGAAATCTGCAGAGCCTGCAGGAAAACTAAGAACAATATACGGTAATTTTATATACACACATTGATACAATGTTTTTGTATGTTTTCTTTTAATATCAAGACCATTGAGGGACCACGCAACATTTCTTGACTACAAAACCATTGAGAGATATTGATATGAACGATATGAACGATATAAAGTGAAGATACCAACCTTTTCTTAAGGGACAAGTCATGGCGACCATCCAACATCTGCATTTGGGAGTGAAGACTGAAGGCAGATGCGGATTGGAGTCTTGAGCCACATGTTGTAAGCCTCATTACTTTCATGATCTTTCATGACATCTTCTAAACTAACTTTGCAGAAAGGCTGCATCATAGTTTGGGGTACTCCTGGCGATTCCTCGCGTGTTCGTTACGCAACGCGAGGCTTTTATGCAGTGGCATCTGCCGAGTCGATGCAAGCCGATGGAATCGGCGCCATGAACAGCATGTGGTGTCAGACTGTCAGACATATATAAATAGCTAGATCTCATGTCTGATGAACGTCACACCTCCCATTCTGCATCGGTAACAAGGACAACAGATTTCGTTGGGCTCCCCGACTTGCTCCAGTTCTTCAGGAACAGTTCAACAGCAGACTCCTTGTGGTCACACTTGTGTCGGACAAACCTAAGATGTTCCTTTTCGGGTCAGTCAAAAGGCTTCCAAGCTTGGTCTGCTCAAAGATGTTCAACAATTGGAAGCTCCCATTGAAGCTTGTGAACAAGGCTCAGCATTTGCCAACCTCAGTTTTCACATTCACATACTGGTAGGTCCCATTGGAACTCTTAGTGGATCTAAGGTGATGGACATTATTGCACTTCTTCTCCTCATACGAGCCGCGGCACCACAGGCCACTGTATTTGTTTCACAGTCAAATCCTCATAGGCGTTGAGGTCGTGTTATCAAGCGGAAAGAAGAAGTTAGAATGATGAAGTGTTTGACAGCACTGGCTTGATCTGGCTTGTCCCTCGGTTCTTGGCCACATCTTTGGCTGAGGCATGGGATGCCTGTCCTGCGCGAGGGGCAAATTCCTGAAAGCTCATCCCTTCTCCTACCCACTTTGGGCACAACCTGGAGATGAGATCTTCTCCAAGGAGAAGTTGGGGTGAGATGTTTCGAGAGGGTGCGATCTCTGTCAGGGCGATCTCTCCTGTCAGCGACGCCAAGCCTTGGTGCCTTCACCTTCGCCAGGAGCTGAAGATTGTGGTAGCAGACACATGCCCCCACACGGGCAACGAAGGCTGGTGCCCTCGGCATCAGGGACAGGGGAAGCTTGGCACATGCTTTTGGGATTCCAGTAGTTCAGATCATGTAGTTCTATGTACTAGTGTGTGTGTTCAAAAGGAAGATCCACAGATATCACAAGATCCACACGGACCCACCAAACATCACAGAACGATATACACACCTGCCTCGATTCCGCCGGACGCATGATGACTCTTCAGCGTCTTAAGGAACAAGTTCGGTGTGAAGCACCACTTTGACTTCGCCGACCCGATGCTCGGCCAAAGCACGAGCATCACCATCTAAGACACGAGGGGGAACTGGTTTGCCCGGCGCGGCCTGAAGACAAACCGAGTGTTTTGCGCACGATGAAGAGACATGAAGAGCATGCCGCCTTTCAAGAATCCCATGTTTTGTACTTGTGCATGAATGATCATGAATGTGGGATTTCAGTTTTGCAAATCATTGCATTTTTTTGCCATGACCTACTGGCAAGGCCAGCCAAATATGACAACTACTACTTCGTGTGGTCGAAGATGGAGTGCCCGAACTACATCAAGCGACGCTATGCACGACTGAGCCGATGCTGAGCCAGAGGATTTGCACCAATGCACGGAATTTGATTGGCCATGAAGGGCCAGAGCAGGTGGTCCAGACTTTTGATCAGATCGGACTTCAGACTTACTCGTTTTCGATGGCAAACTCCACATGATTGTTACTGTATTTTCGATGCTTTTGAAAGGCCGGTCTTTGTAGGAACCGCTGCTGAGGGCACAGAAATCCGGTGCTACTCACAATCTCCATTTTGAGCACACTGCCCCCTTTCGTTGGAGTATATCCCTGACCAAAGGGTTTGCTTGCCTAGTGCGATTGGGGCCCGTGTGAATATCTCGATATCAAATCAAATACCAACGGAGGCTCGAAGCCACCTCCTAAGCTAACATAGCTATCCGCCGATGCCGTGGCCCACATGGGGTGGACCAGCTCGCAACGAACATGAAAAGGTGGTCCCCTTCGTTGGACTTTGACGGGCATGTCCGATCGCGTGAGGCACACACACACAAGGACGCTACTAGGGGCTCCTGGCCTTACTACTAGGAACAAGAAGCTACTAGGTGCTCCTGGCATCGCTACTAGGAGCAAGGACGCTACTAGTAAACTAGTAAACACTGGTTCTTCTCGACATTGTTACCGATCCTCAAGCTGTGTGTGCCACTCGAGGCACCTGGTGATGGCTTCGCGGCCTTGTGCACGGCTGATGCCACGTGTGAGCCCAAGCTGAAAGAGGGAGGGGACCTGAGAGAAGGGTTTGGGGGAAAGGTGGAGGAATCTTGAAAAGCATCCACAAGCCGTTGTTTCAATGTAGCTTTTCTACAAGACTCCATCCATTCTTGATGATCATGATGTGCTTGAAAGGCCTCCATGATTTTAAGCGTGACAGTCAACTGCCTCAGCATTTTCTGAATCTCAAGGGCCTTGAGTTCTGGACCGATTCCAGTCCATTTTTCCCTCAGGTTCCGTGTGGAGTTTCTGGAGAACTCCAACACGCTCCTCCTGGGCCAGGCTGGAGCGCAATGGCCTCCAACCTAATAGCAATGGCCTCGAACTTTATTGCAATGGCCTCCAACCTAATCGCAATGGCCTCCAACCTAATAGCTATGACCTCCAACCCTAGCGATGGCCTCCAACCTAGCAATAGCCTCCAACCTCATGATTGCTGAACTCGTTTTTTTTTTTTTTAAAGTTTCGTAGGCTGAGACATGCTGGGGACACTCTTGGTAGGACACTCTTGTAAGACAGTCTTTGTGGGACATTCTTGGGGAACACTCTGTGGGAAACATGTCTTGGTATGTTTCTGGGTTGTACAGCCGTGGGCTGCATCCAGGTGAAGCCTTCAGAGAACAAAGAGGATGCAGGTGCCCGGTGTGTCGGCCGTCAACATTTCCTCTTTGCTGAGGGTGGCTTTTCACTCATTCCTCCGCAGCTTCTGCAACTCATGAGCACCCGCGAAAGAAGTAGATGCTGTTCAAAGTAACCACATGTCAACGTACTCTTTCAGATACAAGCATCTACACAGAAGGATGCGGTCTGCAATATGTGATACATATGTGCATAGGAATCACGTACATTGCATATCAAGAAAGAGGTATCCCAAAAGAAGATCAATAAAGAATGTCTGGACAGATGAGAGAACCGTTGAAGCTTGACTGATGAGCCTGGAGTTTGGCCTCAATGTCTGGCGTTTAGGCAGTTCTCGGTCACCCTGCAGAAGTCGCAGCCCTCCAGGGGGCTTTGGCTTCGCTGGTGGCTCGAGCTCTGCCAGCTTTGCTTTTCGGGAGACCGCTTTGGCACTGGGAATTCCTTCCGCCTACTTCTGCGTTGTGCGACCCAGAGTCCTCATGCGCTCCATCAAGCGTGTGTCGTTAGTTGGAGGCACGCATGGAAACGAACCTTCCCAGAACTAGGCAGAAGCAGCATGATCAGTCTCACTTCTAGCCTACTAGGATCTATTTAGTAAAATCTATTACTGTAGGTACTTATAGTCATTGATTGTGCAAGTGTCATGCAGAGTGTTGCTACCATCTACTGTCCCATCTTGTTTTCCTGAAAGACGAGATCAATCAGTCAAACAGGTGCTTCTCTTCCAAGGAACTGTCGGGCATCTATTTGGTTCGCTCACTCCTTCGTCAGCCCTCCTGGCATGATTTCCCCTCCTTGGACATTGATTGCCTCTTGGCGAACGAGGAGGCGATCCAGCTGGGCCGCCGCTTCAAAGACTGCGATTTGAATCGGTGCTTTTCGAAGTCCAAGCTCCAAGATCTCCAAGGAGGATGGGGGGTTGATCTGCCCAAATTCCTGTGTCGCCGCCGTTTTGTTTCTGTGGAAGGGGCGGTTCTGTGGCATGCTGGTGTTGAATTCTTTGAGGTATGCATGGAGGTGATTTTTTGCGATCGGGGATGGACCTGGGGACAAGCATCAAACCTCTAGGTTGGTCTTTTTTGCAGAGGTCTTTGTGAGGACCCCGTCAGTGAATGGGCCAGTTTTGTGAGGTAGCGTCCCAAAGGTATGCCACATCCACATCCCTTTGAGAGGAGATGAACGCTATGAATCCCGGCGTGCTCAAGAACTCAACCAGCGCATCGGTCCACGGTTCTCGGCTGAAGCTGCTGATCTCTGTATCGATTTACACAACACAACCAGCAACTTTGGATGTGGGATCATTATTACCAACACCTCTTCGCCGAACTTACACTGGAAATTGCAGCTTTGTCACTTCCTTTCCCGAAGCTCGGCATCATCGGTGACAGCTGTACAGCCATGTTGGCTAGTAGATACAGATAGGTTGCAATCCAAAAGATCAGGCAATGTAGTGCCTGCGATGAGATTGTTTGCCTGATCAAATCGATGATGTACTTGTGACATGACAGTACGGTGGCCGATATCTGATGTGCAATGAGATCATACCTCCCCACATATCTGATTTCATCGTTGTCTATATCCAAAGAGCTGAGGCACTTGTCCCAGAGTTCGCATCGTCTTCGACTGCATTGGGGACTGCTCTGAAGAGCCCTTCTTGCCACTGGTGCCTGGGTCTGTTGAACTGTTCCACAATGGTTATGTCGTGGAAGCCACAAACATCCCAAACCACTCTTCAGTGTTTCAACTCTGCCTTTTGGATCCTTTTGGCCTTTGGTCCTGTATCCTAAGCCAATATAGCTGACCTATGCTGACCTCTGAGGTGGCCAAGAATGACTTGACCTTCGAGCTGGGGCCTCAAGCACATGGTACACTCCAAGCAGAGGCCAGGGAATGGGTGTGTCCTAACATATTAATATGGGAAGCCTCTGAAGGAAACGCAAATGAGAACCGTTAATTTCAGGTCTCATATCGTCTCAGGGTTTTTGATGGTTTTTGAACGGTGTCCCTCGCAGGTGTTTTGGAACCAACGCAAGCATCTCGGCCGTTTTTGTGGCGCTTCACGTGTAGCGCAGCGTCAGACATGAGTTCATGAAGGAGGGGCATTTGCCAAGGCTCTATTCGTTTCTAGCTTTGAGCCAAAGCCTGCCAATGAAAACTCTCAACATACCAGATCACCTGGACCTATGGTATAGGCATGTATAGGCAGTATAGGTTTTGTCTCGTATGCTACTATTTGATCTTTTTAAAGAACCTTTAACAGCCATTAAAGACCTGCTGTATTTGTGAATGTCAATGTGTGATGGCTTCCTGTGGTGCCTGTTGCTCAGGTTGGTCTTGCAGACGCTAGACTTTCTGGAACGATTGAACTCTCAAACGCTGTCCGATGAAGAAAGATCAGAGAAGACGCTCGAGGTGTCACAGACAAATTGAGCGCTTTGGTGGTGGGTCATTTTTTTTACCAATTGTATGTATAGAAGTCAAAATGCACAGGATTTTTCAATCTGGCCTCTATTCTTCAGCTGCTCTACTGAGCATTTATCAATCTCTTTACATGACCCCTTGAGTACCCTGTCCATTCATTGTGGGCTCTAGTCGTTCTGTGAAAACCACTTCTAGATCTTCTAGCACTGCGTGGCTGGGTGTGTTCGTGCAGTGAACGTCGCCTTGGATGAGGTCTACATCCACACTGGTGTGGTTCACTATCCCATGAGGCAGAACCTGCTGCCTCAGATACTCGTACATCTACTACATCAATCTTGGACAGGTCAAACATACGGGCTCCCATGGGTCGTACTCCAGACATGTCCCTTCTTCTCGATGCCATTCCGATTCATCTTTCGATGCCATCTCCAGAAGGGACTCTGTGCAGGTCTGACGGAAGCCTGGCCGCTTTGATTGCCGCTGAGCTTCAAGGTCGAACAGCCCTTCCACGCGTGCGTCTTCGCACGTTCTTCACGTGTGCCGAATGTGCGGAATGCTACGCAGGTCGGGACTTTGAAGCGCTACGACCTGGGGATCCGGTCTTTCAGGCACGGCTGTGCTGCCAAAGAGCAGCTTCGCTGGAGCAGATCAATACCGATCAAACAGCAAGAGGGAAGAACATATAAAAACATGACACAACTTGATAACTTTCATCTTGATAGTGGTGATAGTGACACAACTTGAATCAATTTTGATCGTGATCATTTTGATAGATCTTCAGCTCGATTTGCAGGACGTTGATAAGGGTGATACCATCCACTGGGATGAGCTCGGATCTCGGCGTTTGGAGCGCCATCGGTTCGGCGATCGTCGGCGTTCGGAACTGGCTTGGCCTTTCACCATGATGTTGCCGCCGTTCACATGGAATAAGACATGGGACTGACGTGCTCCATTGAGGCCAGAGTGCTACCCCATGTTCATCAATGAGGCGGCGGGAACAACTGCAGTGGCTTGAAACATCCCCCTATTATCCCCAATCCAGGATTGAGGAATAAGGTGATCAAGGTAGGTATTCTTGGTGTGATTTTTGGTTTCTACCAGGCCTTGTGAGAACAAGTGTTTCCTTTTTTTGCTTTGGCGCCAGGCTGCGTATGTGTCGAGCGGCATCGCTTTCCAAAAGACGATGCGATGCGAGCTCAAGATTCCGGAGCTCCTTGGACGGCGAAGAGAGTCGACCGACGGAGACCGGGACACCGGGGGTGGCCTTCGATCACCTGAGGCTCAAAGCTGATGGCAGCCTCTCCATCATCGAACTTCCATCTCTAAATTGAATTGTTTGAAGCCCACACGGCTGCTGAAATCTTGCGCCGTGGCTCCACATTCTGTGCAGAAAAACACACTCCACTCGTGTCGACGTGACCACGGACAGATGGAAAAGGAGTGGGTTTGAATCGGACAAAGCTGGGGCGAATCAATGGTGGGTGGAGATGGGCGGAGATTCTTCCCTAAATCACACGGCTGGGTTTCCCAGCTGCTTCCAGGTGAAAACCACAGCGAAAAGCTTGGCAGGCCCAAGCCGAAACGACAAAGATGGAGCCGATGCATATTTCAGACATAGAAGCAGTGAATCCCAGATGCGCAGGTGTACCATCTTCGCTCAGTGCAGGGGGCAGTTGTTTGTAAAGCCAGAGACTGCAGACATCAGCAAGGCAAAATGCTACGCGACACAGAAACAAACATGGAAGATCATGGAAGTGGAATATGGATCATGGAAGATTAGAAAGAGGGTGTGAACCATGACACGTAAGTATGGTTTCTTTGGGTGTAGTGCTCAGAGTCGAAGAGATCATGCCGGAAACCAGATGTCTTCACTTCTTCCCTTTCTTCCGCCTTTCCCGGCCTTTCCTTCCTTTTTTTGTGGGAGCATGCCATCATGAGTGTTTGGCACGGCTTGCTTCAAAAGCCAGGTGCGAGAACTACTCAGACCAACTGCTCTTGGCCAGGCCAGGCAGTCCGGCGTCCGGCTCTTCGTGCCAGCCAGCGACCCTGCAGGTGGTCAAAAGCAATGCGCAGTTCTACGACTTGGCAACCCTTCAGCTGGGACTCCGGGAGTGTCTCAGGTCTTAGGTCGTTTGGGCCACGGACCCATCTTAGCTATTTGGCTCTTTGAGTGCTTTCAAGACCCCCGATCCTGATGCTTCAAAGCGAGACCCCCTCCCTTTGGATCAAATACTGTATAAGAATAGTTGCTTCCAGATTGTAGAAACATGAACACCCAACTTCCAACCGGTCAGTTTTCACTGACTGGTAGTTTACCTCTATACGATTTTATAAGCCAGTGGCCCTCTTTTCATTGGGATCCTTGGAGTGTCAAGGAGTCCAAGAACCCCACTAGACGGGGAACGTAGCTGACCGCTCCACCAGAGACCACAACCGAGGCGCCATGTGGCCAGTTCGCCCAAAGAGCTCCAGTTGCTGCTCCACAAGGGGCCGCCCGGGTGCCTGCTCTCGCGGGAAATGGGATGAGCGAGGACATGAGAGGCGTAGAGAGGTATTCATACGATTTCGTGTGCATTTGTGGAGGCTCATTGTTCGGAAAAGGGGGTATTTTTAAGGGGTGTTTTTGAAGCCTTGGCCGGCGTGGACTTGCTCGAATGGACGCATTTGAGAGATGTTTGAGGTTTGTGGAAGTTGATGGCTATTGGCGGCTGTTGCCAGAAAGATTGCAGCGAGAGGCAAGAATTTGGTGAAGATCATCTCACAGCGATGGGAGAATCATCAGTGCCTGCATCGTCGGTGTGTCAGCATACAGCAAATGAATGTGAGCTGAATCTGTTTGGGCTGAATTGGCTCGTGAGTGCTGCTGAATGGTAACACCAGTGGTGAGCCCTTGAGAGGTCTTGGACACTGCCTTGACCATCATCACTGCTCGGGGTTGGCAGCTGCAGGTTGCCGATGTTGCCAGTGAATCAACAATAAAAATAAGTCAGGTCTGATGTTGAACCGAATGGGTGAACCAGTTGAGCGAAGTAGACTTCGCACCATCCTGGTTTGCGAGGCTTCCTCTTTCGAAAGGAAGCATAATATAGGTTTTAAAAGCTTCCAATTTGAACATCACTTCAGCGGATGGGTGCCTTTAGCGCTTTCTGTTCTGGACGCTTGTGGAGGCTGTCGATGGGAATGCCTTGCTTGAGGAGGCACCTTTGCTTTCTTCTTCATGGCCCCCGGTCGATTCGTCGATTCTTCGTTCGTCTTTGTTGTCCGCCTCCCGAAGGTGCAGAAGACGCTGTCAGATGGCGAGGCTGTGACACTCAACGTGTTGGGATTGGTCCATTTGGAGCGATTCTGTGACTCAGCCCTTTGGTTGAGAAAAGAGAGCCGGGAAAAGAGACGTTTGTAAACTTCAACCAATCAACGCTCCATACCCACCCCTCAAGCACAGGTTGTCTATGGTACTTGTATATAGTTCATGGATTTTATGCTTGACTGTTTGACTGTGAACCAAACTCTGCCAGGCCTCAGTGCCTAGCCTGCCGGTACTCCAGAAGGTCTTGAGAGGAGACAGCCTGCAGTGTGTGGTCTGAAAGTTATGAAAGCTGACAACCTTTGGAAGAAACGGCCGCAGATTTGTGACAGAAGCTGACAGGGTTTGGGTGTGACCTGTTGCACTGAATTGCGCTTCGCTACTATTGCAGTGAGAGGCCAAGGCTCTTGACCATCAAGGTCTTAGAGATTTTGCGGAACTAGGTCTTTGGCCAAGACTCTCTAAAGCCTTCGCACTGGGCGAGGTCAGTAAGTCAGTAAGGTCATGGGCGGCTTTTGCGAGCCAAGGAGTCATCATTTGCCCTCGCAGTCGTCTGCGGCGAAAACAATGTTGCAACGTGAGGAGTCGAACAAGTTGAGGAGTCGACATCGGCTGAAGATCCCAAGCATGGACCTCAGACCAAATCAATTGAGCGAATCGGCCTTGGCAAAGCCTCACCGCGAACCAGCCTCGTAATGCGAAGGTGTGAAGTTGGTGCAGTTCTTTGCTTCAGAAAGGCATTCAACTGCGGGGTAAGTCCTCGTCTCGACATTAATATATAGATAGTGACATCATCTCCTGACTCTTGACCATTCTTGACCCATCAATTGGCCATCAATCAAACAGCCTTGATGCTACAGCACAGTGGCGTTGATTTCATCCACTCAGTCCTTCGCGAAAGACAAAGGCCTAATGATGCCGTGTTTTCCTTGGACGAAGAGAAGGCCTTCCGAGCTCGGAAGAGCGACCATATGTTCAGTTTGTTGCGAGTCATGCGCCCACAGTAGGTTGATATGATATGGGAAGGGACGTTCATTGTGAGTTTTTTGGTGTTCATTTCTGGGTCTAGAAAGGTTTCCTGTGCCATGATTTGACTGGTGTCGGATGAATGACACACTGAGATCCCAAGTGCATCTCAGATGAGCTATGATTCTTAAGATTGAAGAGGGGGTGTTGCCATACCAGAGTAAAGCCACTACTTTCATGCAGCCGCACCACAGTAAACTGTTCTTGTTCTTGTCCTTTTACAAGTCCTCAATGACATGATTGTTTCCAGTCTCAAATGATTAGTTCTGAGGACCTTCTGCTGACTCTATTCCTGTACCAACAAACCTGTGGACGATGTTGTTTGCTTGTACTGGCAGGTCAACCTCTCGCGTGCCGTGCAGCTTCTGCAGGACGATCCAAAGCAGGTGGCTTTGACAGGAGCAGAAAAAGAGTCCAAGAAACATCAAGAAACTGTTGGGTGACGACTTATGTGCAGCAAGTGGCTTTTAAGAAACTGCTTCGAAGCTGGAGCATGCGACAACTTCCTGGTGTCCTTTGTGAAAAGTATCTACAATCGATTCCTTCACGCTGCTCTATCCGCTGGATGCTCTCCCAGATGACATGACCATAGCATTCTCGATGTCAGGTGCGAGAGAGGTTCCAAGTGGCTCCCGTCGCACGACCGTTGTGGCGCCCTCAGCCACCGTTGTGGCCCCGTGACTCATGTGTTTGCTCCGAGGGCAAAACGGCCGCGGTTGGCACCACAAGGAGGCCTAAACAGGGAGTGTGACTTGAAGATTTGTTGGATCATACTGTAACAATATTGGAATACCATCCATGAATCCATTGTAACAAAGAATCTCTCTTTTTTATAGGGCTGTGGATGTAAAAGCGAGGGAGATTGGGCCTGCCAACAAGATGTTCGCCTAGTAATGTATGCACCACTGGATTAGTTTTCTTACTAGCTAAGTGTAGAATACAAGATACAAAAAGTGTAGACTCTAGAAGCTCGATCAAACTCTTCTGATCTCCACTGTTTTCAACTCTTCTGATCCCCTGAATCTTTCTCTTTTTTTCACATGGTTGGCATGGTCAGGGGGCGCCTTACATGTGGACGAGTTTGTCCAAGTCTTCAAGGCACGCCGGGCACGCCGGTCACGCCGGTGCGACGTTGGTACCCGGTCAGGGGGGGTCAGCGCTTGGAGGCCGCGTGTCGTTTCTTTGGCCCAGGTCTGTTACCTCCCAAGTGAAGCTCTAGGAAATGACAAGTGCTACCCACGGATGTTCAACAACCTTGTTATTTCTTTAAGCATTTGGTTTAGAAGCCTTCTGAACTTGCTGAGTACAGCAGTGAATTGGATCAGCTCCAGCGCTTGCGATGGAGAGATTGGCTTGTGGCCGTGTGGAGGACTTAACCAACTCGGAGATTAGCAAGGAGAAGCTTCTGGAGGCGATTTTTTTCGGAGAAAGTTGACGCGTCAAAACAAATCAGGCGGCCTGTGTTGTGTGCCCAAATGTGCCAAACCACTTAGTGTGTGTAGTATCTTCGGGGGATCTTATTCTGAGGCCCTGAGGCGTGGACTTAGTCGAAGGGTGCCGGGAGGGACGGTAGAACAACCTCGACCACTCCCTCGAACTTCCAAGATCCATTAACTCTGCCAGTCGTTTTGCGGAGAAAAAGACTTTGAGTGGAGTTGATCCCCCCTCAGCCGTGGAGTTGATCCCCTACTCGCATTCCTTCCAGTTGCTGGCAACTCGAACACGTGTGGATGAGCTTGAGGCGCGGTCGGCCACCCCAGGAGTGGTATTGAGTGGCCTCACTGATGCGTGGACATTCCATTATAAATTCATATAAAATCATATAAATTCCTATATGTAGAACTGTATAGATACACCTACTGCAGAGCTCGACGGGTTTCACGAACATTTCCGCACTTGATTCTGGAGACTGTCTTTCTAAATGCTCAATTGCCGCCGCTGAGCACCGAAAATCAGTTGTGTCACCGGACCGGTTGAGAGACCACGTTGATCCAATTAGACTGGGATGACCACAGTGCTCCTCCGGCATCAGGGGACGATCCACGCCTTGGATGCCACGATGTTGCCACGTGTTGGCCGGCCCAGAGTTGTGTTGTTGTTTCAAAGGGTGATATCGTCTTTTCTGTGACAGAAATCATCAGAAATCGCATGAGAAGGGTTGGGAACAGCCGATTGATTGCATGCCACAGACCGACACTTGTTCTTTTTATGATGGGAATCGATCGATTGCATTTGGAAGTCCCCTCCCACACACAAGAAAGGGGTTGTTCCTGAAGTTGAGATTCATTGTCACTCACTTCAAACAGGTTGAGGGATTGGGTTCCTGGCTGGAGAGGAAACCTTCTGTTTGGTTTGCTCCGAAACCGCGACCAGGACCCCAATGAGCGCTTGAAGAGACTCTTTGAAGTGCAATCACATTGGCGGCACGGGGCCCGAGGGAACGCCACACACCACACTAGCGTGGCACTTGTTACTACTAGCTTCTTGTTTCTACTAGCTTTATTGTTACTAGTAGTAAGGCACCTGTTACTGCTAGCGTGGCACTTGTCACTAGCTACTTGGATGGTCCGTTTTCATGCTACGCACATGTTCACCTCGACGCACATGTGCAGAAGGTTACTTTCAATCGCTCGACGCTCACAGAATCCCCGGAATCCTCGGCCCGAACGGAAGTTTTGGCGCAAAAAAAGCCCGCTGCGGAACATTTGGGGTATGGTGTTGTGTGGCCAAGCCTCAGAACGGAATGCGTTGCACCAAAATGCACCAAATAGGGAGAGCCCAAACCAATGGGTCTTCAATGCTGGATGAAGGAAAGGGACATGTAGCGACATGTAGCGAACACCAAAGTTTCTTGCCTCGGGCATGACTGCACCCAAACAGGCCAACCTTTGAACAGACTAGACTACTGTCGACCACGGTGTAGACATAAATTCCAAGTTGAACCATACTGTCCCCCCTTCAGGGAGGGACGATTCCCAAGTACGTTAGTATGTTGCTATAGTCGCTAAACTATGGTCGCCTTCTTCTTTCTTATCGTCGCTCCAGTCACACTGGTCGCTCGCATCGCTCGAGGCCTGAGAGGCTAAGCAGTCTCATGAAGCCATCCTTAGCTGGGGAAAAGGCCGAAGAGAGAGAGAGAGAGAGAGAGAGCGAGAGCGAGAGAGAGAGAGAGAGAGCGGGTGGGATGTTTATGGATTTGTGGATGTTTAATGATGTTTGGACATGGATATGGTCAGTGAGGTTGGAACCAACAGGAGCAAATAGAGAGAGAAAATGACACACCCACAGTTTTGACCAATTGACCAATGATTCGCCAGTAACGGCTTTTGAGCGATTACAAAGTGAAGACAAACAATGCCCTGGCACCAGGTGGATGCTTGGTTGGGGAAGCATGCGCGCCAGGCCGGAGGGTACCTGGCAATGTGTGGAGATGGTTGATGATGTTGATGTGCCATGTCTACCATCCACAGCGCAAGTCCCTGCTATTGGTGCTGCACCCAACCTCTCTGATTTGCTGATCTTGCTCCAGGTGTTCATGGAGTTCACTCCTGGGGAAGAGGTGAGAGTTGGGTCCTAAGCGATGCTTTCGCACAGCGAAGCGAATTCAAAGCAGGCTGTTGATGGCTGTCTGTTGACTGAAAGATATTGAAAGGACTCTTGACTGCTTATAACTCTACTAGGGATACCCTGGTCTCAGGTGAATTCTTAGTGATGTGATAAATACATTGGTTCTCAGGTGATGACCAAAAAGTTTGGCTGAGCTCTTGGGAAGCTCTCTTTGCAGAGCACGCAGCCGGCAAAAAGAGGCTTGTTGCAGCAAATGAGTAGGCATGGCGGGAGCTGGCTTCACATGTTGTGAATGCATGCTTGCTCAAGGAATGCTTGCTCAAAGCATGATATCACCTCCAAGGACTAGCGAGATGTCAGCAAATAGCGCACCAACCGAAGAGAACAGAAAGGCCCCATGCTCCACACCACAGGGCTCCCGCTGTCAAGTCCAGCTATTTTGCGGCCAACACCACCGGACGGTCTCGCAGAGACCCATTCGACCCATTCATTGTCTCCAACATGTGCGTAGCTGACCATTGACAAGCGAGATTTGATAGCCCTTCCTGGAATTTCGCGATGGAAGAGCTTAAGGAGCTTGTGAAGTAAGGAACTTGGACGGCTTTGGGTGGTGAAAGAATTTGCAACTTTTGTTGCTGAGATGTTTCTGAGGTCTTTGGAAATGTTTCTTGCTGAGGCCATATCACTTCCATTTTGACTTCCTGCACCCAGAGAACTCGGCTTTGAGGCTGGGAAGCAGGGGATTGATGTTTTCGGTGCGGTTGCCACGTGAGGTTGCCATGGGAGGGCCAAGAGAAGCCCAAAGTGGCCAAAGCCTTGAACTTAGCACAAAATAGGTTCCACCAATTGAAACTTCCTATGGTTTGCTCGACTCTTGACCAAGAGCTTCAGCTGGGATCCCAACCTCCCATACCTTCTCTTTCTCTTTGCGATTGCCTAAAACGTTGTTCCCGAGCGATGCAGTCATCCCAACCTCCACTTCCTGCGCCGACTCGATCGGCCGAGGATCCCCTTGCCGGCCGCGGCGAGAAAGGACCGGACATAGATGTCCAGTCCTTCATCTCATCTCCGAAACAGCCGGCATCTCCGATTCGGACCCTGCACAAACCTTGGTTTTGATCGAGAATGATAGAAATTCGTTGATGGAGTGTCATGCAGGGTTCCTGTGGGGGGGTTCATTGATGATAGGGAAGGGGTGATCGTTTTTGATGAAGCCCTACACATATATATATATATAGAATGTGTTTGAATGTGCTTCGTGCCCTCTTTGTGCGAACTGTGAGGCGTGTCAAAACCTCAAGGCCTCGCTAGAGGATTCCTTCTCGACTCGGGTCGGTGGCTTGGAGTTGTCTTCAGATTGAAAAGGCAGGATGTGGAAGCATAACATATGGTTTGAGAGTTGTGCTCTTCAGCTTTCTTTATCTTTGAATGCCCATGCGCATACCAGTTGCATGCCCCAAGGCTCCACCAAGGCTCGCTTTTGGGACGAAAAAGACGCAGCGAAACAGACTGGCACATTGAAAGGTGTTGCAATGAAGCTTTCTTTGGAAGATGTTGGTCTCCAAAAGCAGTCCCCCAAACTCAAACCTTTGTCTTGTACAGTTATACAGTTATACTCAAATGCCTTCTACTGTGACTTTTCCGCGGGTCTCCCTCTTTTGACGCAAATTCATACTCCCTCAGCTTTTTCCATTTTCGAGAAGAGCACGAGAGCAGGAAGCTCCAGCCGGCTCATCGCCAGCGCCAGCTGCGGCTTCAAAGGTGAAGAAGGCCTCTTCACCGCTTGGACAAACCAACATACTCGTAGAATTCCCGTATGTGAACATGCTGGAAGAATCAGACAAACATCCATGCTTTCTCGTGTCGGTACAGTTTTCCCGTTGGGACTCCTCACATCGATTGATCACGGGATCGAAGCCTCGCGACGTAGCGTCTCACATGGCCATGCCGGACGGGCCAGGTGGCTGCGCGCCACGGGACATGCAACTCGCTTGAAAAAGAGCTCATGGTCTAGCACCTGGCTTCAGGAAGCAGGGAGACTGCCCAAAGAATTTTGGGCGGAGAACAGGTGGTTGGGGGCTCTGAAAGAGAGCAAGTACACGCTCGAATGGATGAGGTCAACCTCTTGGTGTTTGCTTTTGAGGCTTGATTTGAGTTGTCCTTTGCCTCAACGGCCGACCAGTCAATCTCTTTGAGGAAGCTATTCGAGTTCTCCATGAGGAAGACGATCGAAGTGGCAGAACAGTGGAGTTTGGTGATGCCTTTCACATCGTTGAAAACAGAGTCCAAGGAATTGGTTCAGGCTGAATGAAATGAATGAATCATTGCTGAGAGTTTTTTGATCGTCCCTTCCTGTATATGACGGAGCTCCCGGTGCTGAAGAGGTGATGACGGAGCTCCGGGTGTTGAAGAGCATGGCCAGGTGGGACCTGGGACGGTAAGCAGTTATCAGTAATCCAAACGACAATTGTATCGCTGGATGTATATATATTATACACATACACATGTACAGAGCACCTACAGGTTGTTGAATGATTGTGCAGAAGCTTGCTGTGCCACCTCTCTCTCTATATATATATATCCCTATTGAATCGAAGCCCTGACTGATTAAACAGCAGGAATCATAGAATGAACAATGAAGCAAATCAGTAGAAAAAAACATAAGGTATTTCATAAACTGAAACGAACTCTTGAATCAAATCATAAGGACAACACAAGCAATCATAACCATGAAGTGTATCATACAGTAACATATATTAGATCATTCTCTAAATGCAGCACGGACCAGTATTTCTCACTAGACACTGGCACCGGCGACCTATTCTTGATCTTAGAGCTCAGAGGTATCCATTGGGATCTCCGTGGGTACAGGGGTTCCACATTGTCGGACGTGGAGAGCACGAGGTGTGGAAGGCCACCAAAAGGAGCGCTGGAGGCTCAGGCCTTCCACAAGCGCAGATGAAGAGAAGTGATAGACAGATTGTTGACCTGACGTTCGTACAGGTGTTTCAATAAGACTCCTTGCTTTAAAGGCATAGACGAAAGCACATTTGCCCACTGGAAGTCACAGACTTCATTCGAAAGAATGTTCGATCACTGTCACTTGAAGTCGGTCTGGTCTGGGGCTTTCTTTTCGGTCTGTGACGACAGACCGCCTCAAAGGCCTGGCCAATTCAGCAGCGGAGCTGGAGTTGTGCCCTGTTTGGCAAGTGCGGTTTCCCCTGGAACAGGAGTATAGAGTAGAGTAGTCGCCAATGAGGGAAGGACAGAATCACCACGGAGAGAAGAGTAACCAAGGACAGAACCGAGGATCGTAGAGGATGAGTGGAGGACAGTCCAAGTTCCGGAAAAAAGGGAAACCTGTCACACGTTTTATTTCTTTGGGAACAAATTTCAGCGCTTTCTTCTGACTTTGGGGTAAATGATAAAGGTTGCTTTGTACGCAGAACTTACATCTCATGAACTATGTTGGGATAGTTCCCCGCGTCAAGTACAAATAGCACATGGCGATGAGCTCGTCAGGGAGAGGCGAATTGTAGATCCAACGCTTAACCCGATGGAAATCAAACCAGCTTAATTCCAAAGATCAGGTGATTTTGTGTGTTTCTCGAGTCCTTATTAGGTTGGAGGCCATCGCTATTAGGTAGGGGAGCAGAACGGCCTTTAAACAGTCTTTCTCACAGGTGATGTTTTGATAGATTCATCCGCCCTACCCGAAAGAGCCGAGCACCAGATGAGATCGCTCAGCGCGGTCTCTTAGAGGCTCTTCACACAGCTGGCCGGGTGTGGGGCGCAGCACGAGTCGCACGGAGTAGTGTATAACATTACCGTGTTGAGGCGTTTGAGGCCAACCCACTTGGTGCTTCTAGTGGATGACAGTGAGACACTGGGCTATGTGCTCACTGGACGCCTTGTGACACTGCTTCATCTTTGT